TTTCTCTTACTAACCCTAGCCCTTCTAGATTGCGCTCTCCGTCTTGTTGGCAGCCATCTAATTTGATCTATGGTTCTCCGTAATCATTGAGGCGAGATTCTTACAATTTCATGAAATCAGGTTGATTTACTTGTTACTGATTGGAGAACATTGTTAAATTAATGAGCAAAGAGCAATTAAATTGATTCCATAAAGTTTGAGATGCAATAGCTTCATCAATTTAAAATATTTGTGGTAATTTGTTAAATTAATGATTGTGCAATTAAAATGATATAAAATCATATACAGGGCATTAATTTATGAACAGTCGTTTCGCTAATTGTTATTTTTTGCATTTTTGGTGATTTTTGAATTGGGTTCTAGCTTGATTCTGGAATTAGGTTATTCAAAAATGGATTTTTTTTTCTTTTTTCGGTTATTAGAATTGGATGAGGGAGCTTAGAATACTCCCTTTGACAAGGGATTTAGGGATTAGGAGTCAAAAGTAGCAGCTAAAGTGTTACTTTTTATTGCATGGAACGTCATTGATCAAATACCAAACTTTGTTAAATTTGTTAAACTTTTCATTGATCAGTGAGTTGTACTAATTGGGATTTTACCTCTTTTTCTAGATGTCATTACCTTTTCCAACCAAATATATTAGAAAGTTATTAACTTAGCTTAAACCCCCAAATATTAGATGATAAAAATGAGGCTGAAAGAGGAAAATCCCCCTATTTGTTTACCTTCTTATGGTCTCAAGTACGAAAACCTCATATCTATATATGTTAGATTTCATGGAGAAAAATCCATCAATCGCATACTCAGCCGACATGTATCCACTGCGTAGCAGTTTCACATAAAAAATATGGCCACTAAAATAGCCAAATTTTTTATCTACTTTTATGATTCTTACTATGTACCAATTCATGCTTATATCCTAGAATTGTTGTCTGAAAGAAAATTTATGTGTTGTAGATTGTTTCATTCATGATTATTGTAGGACACTACAAGCATAAGCGGGGGTACCTTCTTTCCTCCTTAATTTCGTCTATGTTGATTCTATAGTTCTTTCCGTCCTCCATATCCAGTTAGTATATTCGAGAAGCAGATTATATGAACTATGCATTGTACTACAGTTTCATCTCGAATTTTATTTCTTGTAGATTTGTAATTGCGTACATATGAAAAATTTGGTTATTTTCCCTCAAAATCATGAGTCTGATCTTGAAGTTGAGACTGTTTATTCACTCAAAGTGGTTTTCACTCTTACAATTTTTTTTCAGTTCGCCAAACAACCATATTCAAAGGACACTTAGAGTCATTTAATAAAAAGATCAAATTTGAGTATAATTTGTTTTCTATCTAAGCTACATTTATCCACAGGAACTTCAATTTAGCTACTTTTGAAAAATATACTAAAGTTCTTGGACTGTTTTTTGTAACATCCTGCATATTGGATCGCAATTAGATAATGACTCCAAATACTAAAGTTCTTATCCTCATTCTTTATTTCTTTGATGTGATGCATGGTATAAGAAGCTGGAATTTGATGGAAGCTGCATAATATTTGTAGCCACTTCAAGTTAATGAACACTCCTTTCAGTTGAGCTTGTGATCAACCTCATGAGTTTTAGTGGGTCTAGACCTAATAAAGTCATTCTTGTTATGCTTGTCTTTTACAGTTTAAACTTGGAGTTCCTGGACCAATGTGAAGCCCTACAACAATCACGCCTTGATGTATGTCTAAATGCTAATCACTGTCAGGAACTTGGCCATAGAATTTTTATCCTCATTCTTATCCTCATATTGGATCGCAATTAGATAATGACTCCAAATACTAAAGTTCTTATCCTCATTCTTTATTTCTTTGATGTGATGCATGGTATAAGAAGCTGGAATTTGATGGAAGCTGCATAATATTTGTAGCCACTTCAAGTTAATGAACACTCCTTTCAGTTGAGCTTGTGATCAACCTCATGAGTTTTAGTGGGTCTAGACCTAATAAAGTCATTCTTGTTATGCTTGTCTTTTACAGTTTAAACTTGGAGTTCCTGGACCAATGTGAAGCCCTACAACAATCACGCCTTGATGTATGTCTAAATGCTAATCACTGTCAAGAACTTGGCCATAGAATTTTTGTTCATGATAAGATTCAAGCTGAATGTGAGTGAGTGTTTTTAGAGCTATTGCAAACATTTAGTGAGGGAAGCAAACGTTCAAGGCTTCCAGATAGAGAAAAGCTTCATAGGTTGATGTGAACTGGAGAAATCATTAAATCAATACAAGGGATACATCAGAAAGAAGAAGAGACTTGAGTTAGGTAGCAATATTGCAGAGAGGGGTCAAATTTTTGGCCAAAATTGTTACTTTTATAAAAAAAAATTGTAAGTTGGAAATGGTGAGAGACTATAAGGAATTAGAATATCTGCCAAATACGATAATTTGTATATGTGGCTGAGTTTGGAATCTATTAGTCTAGTTTTTGGGTTTGTTCTTTAATTTTTGCAAAGATCTTATAAATGCAAGCTTGTTGGATAATTATTGACAAGTGATAGAACCAAGCTCTTTCCTTTCCATTGTGTTTAGCGTCTACTATTGTTATCTTGATAAATAGGAGCTTGAACAATCTGAACCAAGAAATGCTAATTGAAAACCAACTTGACATGCACGGCAACACTAGATTGTTAATCAAATCCTTATCTAGAATTGAAATTTTGACACTTACCAAATAATAAATTTGAAATTGAGAATTTTCAAATTGAAATTACAATGATTTGCAAACAATGGAAATGAAATTGAAATTACAAATTTTAAATTCTAGAATTGAATTCTATAAATTAAAATCAAATCCATGAATCCAAACGCAACCTTAGAGGAATGTAGGATGCCTATATTACTAAGCTGAAATTCCGAAAGGAGGGGATTATGAAATCACAGAAATATGACAGTCAAAGAGGATTTAGGACTACAATGCAAGGTAGTAGTTCACAGAGGATGTAAAATGGATGATCACCGATTAGAAATCTTCTTAAAATATAGCAGTCAATAAGGGCAGCATTTCTTTTAGAGGATGTCAATGAGAGCAGTGTTGCATACGCAAAAAGACCATCTCTTTTCTATTTCTAGAAAAATTAATGCTAAATTTTTGCTATTTCTGGGACAAGGAACTCCACCTTCATTTTGAAATGATGGAATATTTAGTAATTCATTTACTGTTGGATCAATGTTGCATATGACAACTAACTACATTCAAAGTGTGTAACAAGTAACAACTGAAGAGGAGTCTTATACTGAAACAAGACTTTGTCCTACCTACATCTGTTGGCTAAACCACCAGCTCTATCAAAGACCATTTGATGCAGATCAGTTTCGATGGAAGTCCTTTTGAATATTGCAAAACCATCAAAAACTTTTAAAGTCAACTTATCTTATGGACAGAGTTTGAGAGGACAAAAGTAAATTAAAGAGTTTGTTAACAAGGACAATGTCAACTTGATTAATTTTATAATTCGACTACACATATATAAGCATGTAAACAACCGATATACCTCAATATTAATATTAACTTCTTCAGTGAATCTCATAAAATGAATTACATTCTCTAGATAACCATATTTCATTCCAACTCACAACCAGGGATCTTACCCACAAACTATCATCCTCCTAAGCAGTAATGTTTTCACATACCAGTTTTCACATACCAATTTTCAGACTACAAACAGAAGCAATCAACATTTATGCTACTCCTGATTATGAGAGCTTCCCGCTCAGGACAATGCAGATAGATATAGGGTTTCAAGCCAGTTACTTCCTACGTTAATTTTATTAAATGTCTGCACACCCTACAAGATTAGAGCCGCTAAGACTCATCCTTATCATTCAAAAGACGGAACATATTAAAGTGTCCAAATTTAGGCAAGGAGTTCTTGGAGGTGTTCCTTCACATCTGTCAGATGAAGTTTCAACTGCTTGAAACCCTTAAGTAAAAAAAAACTCTACCAGCGAAGCTCCCAGATGCAAATGAGTATTCCTTGTGTTATTAGCACTTACTTTCATGTATATGAAATAAAATGCATGAAAGTGGAACAGCAAAACATAGATTGCTAAACATGGTTACATGACAAAAGGCAAAAGCATGATGCCTCAGCATCATATTGGCCTAGTTAGGCTATATAATTAGTACTGAATGCATCCAATAGAACAATCCATGTGACTTCTCCATTGTGCATGATCTAGCATTCAACAATGTTAAGGAAAATATCCTTGCAGTATTATAACCTCACCATAAAGAAAGAGCTTGGTTGAGAAAGAATGTTTTTCAGAGGAGAAACATTTAAAAAATTACCTTTCCGGATCAAAGTTGTCCCAGATTTCCTCTTTATCTAAATCGAGCCCTTGGAAATTCACATTTGGTTCCATGCTGAGCGATAACATTCCATGAAATTTCCTCAGCACCACTGAGTATGTAACATCAAGGAGGAAATAAATGTGCAACAAGAAATAATCTACTAGAAGTCTTGAAGCCATATCACTTGCTTCAGCACCATTGTGACCATCAAATATTGCTATGATGCCTACACTGATCTCCTTGATACCTGTTCTCTCTGTGACAGTCAAGATAGATGGATTTCCATGATTAGGAGTAAAGGGGGAAAAGGAAAGTTTAGTATCATTCCTATTAATATAATTTAAATTTTATTTTAGCAGCAGAATGCCTCGCTTGGGAGACCCTGATTTTCTCAATAAGTTCAAAAGTTGTATTGTAATTTGCATAGGTGTACGAGAATGAATGAGTTAAGGGGTTGTTTCACTTGTTTGGTTCACTACAAATGTGATTGCAATGCAATTGCCAATTCCATGACACTATAGTTATTGCAACTACTATCGCATGCAGTTGTAGTTGCAGTTGCTTGGTTCATTTTCAAAATATTAATTTGTAGATGTGGTTGTTGTTGCATTGTTATATTGGGGTATCACGGTATTTGGAGTGGAGATTCTATTGAAACACCCCCATAGAATGGGATGATATATCACATTCATGTTGGTTAGAGGGTGAATTTGGGAATTACAGTTCGGGGTGGAAACAAACCGAACAATTAACAAACAGTTTGTAAATTGTTCGAGTGACTATTTAGTTATATTCGATTTGTAGTTCATTTAACACTAAGCAAATAATTTTCAGTATTCGAATTCATTGACGAATAGAATTTAACAAGTTGTATATTCAATTTGTTTGCTTATCAAGTATTCGTTTACATTTTGATCACTTATAATTTGTATTAATACACATATGATGTTATATTTTCAATCCACTTACATTTTGAGAAACTTATATATGATGTTAATACATATATGTATTAATACACATGTAAGTTCAATATAATAATTTTGAGAAACTTAAAGAATGTAAAATAAGTTTTCTAATGAAATATTCGAAAATATATATATACCTTATTATTATAAAGGAACAGTTTCCATTTATAAATTTAAATACTATTTGAAAATCAAATTCTTTAGCAGAATGAACATACTTTGATATTCTATAAATATTAATAAATTGTTTATCGAACAACGAGTATTCGAGTTGGAAATCGGAAAAATCGAGATATTGATATTTGAATTCGGGTCCAAATTCGATAATTTTAAACAAATACAAATATGAACACCCTAGTATTCAATTCGATCGTTTTCCACCCCTAATTACAGCTCAATTTCATGTAATTACACTTGTGTCCACTGCAGTTGCAGTAAACCATATGCAATGTCAACCTACTTCAATAAAGCCTCGTCCCACAAACTCAGACAAATAACTACAACTAGCAACAGGTAAAGTCGCAAAATTTACAGTAAGAGAAGAGAACCCAGATTCTTACCTAGGAATGGAATCTTGATATCGAGAGCGCAAACGGCACGATCCTCCTGATATCTCCGACGTCCTTGGACCACCGCCATCTGGCATCCTTCCGACGAGCGTTGGCGGCGTCGGAGATCGTCGGCGGAGGGGAAGGTCCAGCGAGGGCATTCTGGGGATTCGAAAACCGCAGGGGCGCCGCCCTCTTTGTATACTGCAATGCAATTTAGGGATTCGGCGATCGAAGAAGGGAGTATGAAGAGGATAAACCCTAGAAAGGAGAAGAGGGTTGTGGACATTTGAGAGAGAGAGAGGGAGAGGACTTCGAAGCGGGTGGAGAAGAGGAACTGTTGTGGATGTTGGGAAGGGATCCGTTTTGATATTGGGTTTGGGTATATGGATTATTGAGGCTAACCCATTAACCATTTGGGCTTATGTATATGCTATACTTTAATGATTAAGTATTTTTTTACTAAATTTTGTTCCTCAATTCTTTTTTGATTGTTTTTACTCACTTGTGTCTTTAAACTTTAGTACTATGATTATTTATTTTCTTTAATATTTATTTGAATGGGCTACACCAAATTTAAATTTTTCACGTTAATAATTGAATTGACAAAAAATAAATATAATCTAAAGCTAATTTGAATTTGCACGTTATTTTGATCGACATGAAACCAAGCTTTACTTGAAAATGTATAATGTTGTAAAAGTGAAAAACACTTGAAGAAATAGCGTTATAAAAGAAGAATGGATAATTAAAGCCAATAAGCCAATATGATTAATTAGAAGTGGGGTAGAATGAAACTAAAAAGAATATAAATTTTGTTGCTAATCATTGATAGACTTCAGAAAAAAAATCATAAAATAAAGATTAACACTAACTCTAGTATACTATTATATGATAAAAGCATCCACATAACCATATAAAAGTATTAAAAGAGTTCATAAAAATCTCTTCTAAAGATTCCTAATTTTCATCAAAAAATTAAGGTATTCTATAAAATATTCAATAATTTAAATTTGTGTTGTATTTATAAAGAGCCTTGATGGAGATGCTTTTGTTTTAACAGCTTGTTTTGAATGAACCATGCATATTAGCTTTAAAGTGTAATATTTTTTTTATCGTGTTATATGGATGTTTGTTTGGTTTACTTATCATTCTCTTTTTTTCTTCATTAAATTGTATCTTTAGATTGATATATATTATTAACACAATTTACGATGATATACATATCTTTTCTACAAATTTGAGATAGATATAAGGTGAATTTTATGTTTAGTGACCTTTAATAAGAATTTTAATTGTAAAATATGTTACCTTCATATTTAAAGATTTTGAAATATGACAGTATTATTACATGCTTATCTTTGATCGTGTCCCTAAAAATTGATCATTCGTTGGTAGTCATATCCCCAAATAAGGCTACTTGCAGGGTCGTGCCACTATATAGAAAAAAGAAAAATATTAATTTTTTTTTTACTTACGCTATGGTAACAAAGTATTATATGCATACTTTTTGTTAATTATAGTAATTTTTCTCATCTTATCTAGCTTATTATATCTCGCAATATAGTTAATCAATAGCTTCACTTTAGTTTCTATTGCAAGATTATTTATATGTAATTTTATATTAAGCTTATGATTTCTTTAGTATATCAAGAATAAAGTATGAAAATTTATAAATACTTACTAATTTTTCTTGTATCTTTCATGAAGAATGCTTTTTTAATTAGGACAAAATCGTTCAATATGTTCTTCAAGGGAAACTCGATCAGTGCTTCTTTGTCAGATATGCATTTTATCAATGTCAATTCAAGTGATTCATGAATGTTTCCGAATTTTGAGTTTATTTCCTTCACTTCTCAATTTGAAATAAAAACAACTTAGTTCTTTTAAATGATATCTCTGAACTTTCTGATAGTTTCTCCATACATAACTTCTTATAAAAACAACTTAGTTCTTTTAAATGATATCTCTGAACTTTCTGATAGTTTCTCCATACATAACTTCTTATATTTTTTACCCTATAAATATTATCAATATCTCTGAACTTTCTGATAGTTTCTCCATACATAACTTCTTATATTTTTTACCCTATAAATATTATCAACATTAGAAATAAATGTTTATACATTATAATCAATTAATTCTAACCTATTATATTATAGTCTTTTACTAATTTGTCTTCTATCAATGAATGTTATTAGTAAAATTATATGCAGTTCCTTGGATTTATACAATAATCTCAATTTTTAATCTATCATAAATTTTTAAATTCTTATTACTTAACTAGATAATTTTAATCTACGGTAATTACTATTTTTTACCGGCATCAACTTAGACTACTGTAGATGTTGAAAAGAGATGATAAATTTTAAATTGAAAATTAAACTTATATATCTTAATGTTATTATATCAAACATTTCCTCTTTTCTTTGCCAAATTTTAGCTTTTTGTGGTTTTAAACTTTTGAGGGTGTGTTTGTGTGTGGAGAAAATTGATTGTTTCATTGCGGGATTCATTACAAACTTCAGACGTTTATAACGAAAACAAAAATTAGTCTTTTTATAAGACCTTTACACAATGAAAACAAAACAAAAGTACAATTCTCTTCAAACAAACGTAGAGATCGTTTATCGGTCTTCTACTTGCGTGGGATCTTGGCCTGTGACGGGGATGTTGATATCCGTGGACCACCGTCGATCAGATCTGATTGCTGAAAAATTAGGCATAGCTTCGTTGATTCGCGAAGGAATCAAGAAGCCGTAGCGCTTATCTCGGTAACAGCGATATAATTGCTCTTCTTAAGATCACCACAACGGGGTAATCTTAAGGGACGAACACGAGAACTGCAGATCTGACGAGCTCTTCTTCTTTATGCCGATGAACTCAATCCGATCTCTCCTCCTCCTCTTTGAAATTCGTGCATCTTCAGTCTTCAGTCCGGCAGGGCTTCGCCAACGCTCGAGAATTCCAGCCCCCGAAAAAATAAAGGCCCTGGGGTTGTATTTATAGGTTCCGGGGAATCCAGGCGGTTAAAACCGCATAACCATCAAAAATCTGATTTTTTTTAGGGCCCAGGACACCCTTGAGTGTCTCAGCGAGGCCGAGACACCCAAGAGCCGAGACACCTTGGGGTGTCTCGGCTTTGGCCGAGACACCTTGGGATGTCTCGTTTAGGCCGAGACACCTCGGGGTGTCTTAGCTTAGGCTGAGACAGTCCGTTTTGCGTGCTTGTCCATTTCCATCGTAACGTCTTCATCCGAATTCGGATTTGAGTGATTCAAAGTGCGTTGGAAAGCCGACGAGGAGATCTATAAGCTCCAATGATTGAATCATGTGTGGAATAAATGAGACACGAGGGGTGTTCCGCCTTTCGTAAACGACGCGGGGTTCCCGATCAGCTTTCGTTCCTGTTATTCCGAAGTTCCGTTGCTTCACATGGTTCATTGACTCACTTCATGTGCTTGTTAATGTCGATTAAGCTTCTGTGACTCGGATAGAGACATTAATCATCTTCTCTCTGTCTCAAGCTGTGTGCGGGGACCTATAGGTAATTTTTGACGCCTACAGATACCCCCTCCAAAGTGTTTCAGTCTCGTTTGTTTTATAGACGAGCCTGAAATACTTTGGTTATGATTGGTTCAACCTTTAGTCAGTGTAAAAGGACCTGTTGTTAGCTCCAATTCTTGACTCCTTCGATTTTCAATCTATTCGATGCTTTGACGAATAGCTAAAGTTCTTTCGGCACTGCGTTTATCGTCTGGCCGTCGTCGAAGTCTCAAATCTAAAGCTGATGAGTTGAGTTTGGCTCGTATCGTTGAGTTGACTTAGAACTGACTATCTCCGTCGCATCGTGCTGACTTAGGGTTTCAGATCGCCATATGCTGACTTTTTGTCACAACGCGTTGACCGGCGTTGATCTAGGGTTACGCGTTGACCGGCGTTGACCTAGGGTTTCGGGTCACCTGACGTTGACTTTTTCATCGCAACACGTTGATTGGCATTGACCTAGGGTTACACGTTGACTGGCGTTGACCTAGGGTTTCGGATCGCCCGACGTTAATACAGTTTATACTCATACATTTGCTAGAGTATACACAGTTTAAGCTCTTAAGGTATTGGAGCACGGTGATCCCAAATGTCGGAGCTGCAGGACCAACCATGAAAGCTGATTTATCTGCATGTATGGATCTTATCCTGAAGTTGTTGGATGCTCAAGTCACGAGACCAACTAATGAAGCTGATGCGTTAATGACTCGCATTTATAGAATTTTTGGCAAATTCTCAGCCATCAACGGGTTTGATGAGCCTTTACCGACTACCGTTTGAGTCGGGCTAGTATGCAGATTGTTTAAGTCTGTTTCGCATGTGACGTTAAGCTAGAAGAGTTAACCATTTTAGCGCTATGATGTTGAATACGTAGACTTCGTCTTTCTCCCGTGAAAAGACTAAACAGCGACGTGTATCAGACGTTGACTTAGGATTTTTGGTAAATCCTCAGCCATCAACGGATTTGACGTGCTCTTACCGATTACCGTTTGAATCGGGCTTACATGCGGATTGTTTTAAGTTAGTTCCGCATGTGACATTGTGCTAAAGGAATGAACTCCCTTAGACTTGATGCTACAACTTCAAATACGTAGACTTCGCCATTGTTACGGGAATAGGCTACCCGGCAACGTGTGTTAGACGCTGACGTATCCCTACTTAGGCTTCAGGATAAAAGTCCCCAGACTGAAATTCTGGTGTCTTCTTCAATCGGTGAAAGACTAAACCGACAACGCGTGTTAGGCGTTGACTTATCCCTACTTAGGATTCAGGATAAAATTACCCGTACGTGTGAAGCACGGATTTTGGTGTTATGAATAACAACCTGCCACAATGTCAAATATGTAGGCTTTTGTCCCTTTTTTACGGTTAAGGACTAACCGGCAACGCGTGTTAGGCGCTGACTTATCTCTTCTTAGGATTCGAGATAAAATTCCTCGTGCGTGTAAGGCACGGATTATGGTGTTATGAATAACAACATGCCACAATATCGAATATGTGGGCTTTGGTTCTTTTTACGGTTAAGGACTAACCGGCAACGCGTGTTAGGCGCTGACTTATCCCTTCTTAGGCTTCGGAATAAAATTCCCCAGACTAAAATTCTGGTGTCTTCTTCAATCGGTGAAAGACTAAACCGGCAACGCGTGTTAGGCGTTGACTTCTTCAATCGGTGAAAGACTAAACCGGCAACGCGTGTTAGGCGTTGACTTATCCCTACTTAGGATTCAGAATAAAATTCCCCGTACGTGTGAAGCACGAATTTTGGTGTTATGAATAACAACCTGCCACAATGTCGAATATGTAGGCTTTTGTC